GATCTGGAAATTTCTTGTTTGCAAGTAGAGGTGAATCTGAGCATGGGAACACAAATATCCAGATAGACCTATACAGAATCAGATTGCTAGAACTGGAAGAAAGCTTAGTGATCTTGTTATCAGCCCCACCCCCACCCCTATTCTACAGAGAGGAAATGTGTCCATTAATAATTTCCAAACTCTTTGTAGCTGCAGTGAAAGGACTGAGGATTGCAACATTTTTACAACATACAAGCTGCCTGAAATTGAGAGGTTTCTCAACTTGGTGGGATCAGCAAAAAACCAGGTGTTTCTGTCCCTATCCAGTACTCTCTACTGCTCTTCATATTGTGTGGCAATCAGGCATAAATGGTATAGTAGGGCCCAAAGGCACACTTTAACTATTTTACACTTTTACCTAAGGCCTGACGTTCTCATTGCCTGGCTCTTCAGATCCTATGGGACAAACTCCCAGAGTTAATGGGACTTATTCAGAGTAGGGCTATTGCCAGTGATGACGTGACCAGGACTGGGTCTTGGCTACGTCTGGGTCAGTATGCCTAGGTCATCCATTGAATCAGTATCTAGCTGTTAGGAGAAGAGGATGAGAGGTAGGCCTGCCATGAATGCCCAAAAATTGCAGGCTTCAGATTAGGGGCAGTATTTCTAAAGTCAGCTTTGTGGAATGGAGGGTGGAAAGGGAGAAATAGAAAGCTGCTCCTAGTCTCCTGTGAAGATCCTTAACCTAAAGGAAACCAAGTAGCTGGACCTCCCTGTTTTTTAGGCAGGGTTGCTCAGACCTTGGGTTTTTGCTGGCTAAGAGGTGTGTACCTGTTCCTGGGTGATGGGAGCCAAAGCGAAATGGATGCTAGAGTCCCTTTGGTTTATGATACTGAAGACCTCTTTGATATGAAATATTAGACTGGAATAAGACACTCCCCTCTCCCTGTCCTTTTGCCACATTGGCTTTGTTTATTAGCAGAATAGAGGACGTTACTTTAAGTGCTGAGATTTATTAAGTCAAAGGAAAGGTATCCTACCAAAAAGACCTCCCTTACATTGTCTAAAATTCTCACAATCAGAGATGCAGTCAGACTAGCAAACACCACTGGATCATTAAAGGGTTCAGGGAGAGGGATGCAGCTGTCTGTCAGTCATACATAGTATGGATGCTTTCCTTCTAACACTGAGGGATTGGGAGTTTTAATGTGGTGGGGGTGCAGGAGAAGAGCATCATTTTAGAGCATGAACCACTCTGGGAGATGGTAGGAGATTGAAACTTCAGGCTGTTGATAATGAGGGCATTGGTCACCTGGAGAGGTGGAGGTACATGGGAGGGAGGTTAAGAAAGCATCTTCTTAAGAATTTTTCCTACAGAAAGCCATGATCCCCTTCTCCTGGGGGCCACATGGGAAGAATACGCTGTCAGTGTAACCCATGGCATGTACTTGGCTCCCCATCATCCTGCCCTTCCAGGAAGAATGAGGCAAGGGGGTAGAAGCAGTTAGCCAGTTTGTACATTCCTACTTCTTAGCTGTTCTCCTGGACATACACACACACACACACACACACACACACACACACACACACACACACACACACACACACACACTCTCTCTCTCTCTCTCTCTCTCTCTCTCTCTCTCTCTCTTTCTCTTTCTCTCTCTCTCTCTCCCTCTTCCCTCCCTTCTCCCCTCATCCTCTTCTTCTTCTTTTCTGTACTCTCCTCTCTCTCTTTCTCCCCCTACTCCAAAGATTAATTATGCTAACAAACATAAAGGTTGTTCCTAGAGAGAAACAAGATAGAGAGCAGAGTAAGCATTGACCTAATCTTCTACGTCTTGTGTTTAATATTCATAAGATCAGAGTTTGATTTCCTTCAGGGTTTTGAATGTTTTAATTGTTTGACAGTTGTTGAGTCTTAATGATGTAGAGTTTTATGATGCTTGCCAGTGTGGGCTTCTTAGAATAGGAACTGAGACTAGGTTTATATGTAACACATACACACACACACACACAGTAGAAGCATGGCATAGCAGATAGAGAGCCTCACAGCCAGAAGGACCTGGTTTTGGCTGCTTTTCACACATACTAGTTATTTGACCCTCTGTGCCCTCGGCAGTTCTGTAAGGCTGTGAGTTGCAGAGGAGATATCAGCCTGTACTAGCAGAGGGAGTTTCTTCACTTGGGAGTTCCTTATACCAATGAAATCACAAGTTTGGTCCCTATGCCTACAATAAAGGCAGTCACTCTAAGATGAAAGCATTAATCTTTCCTAGGCTTTTTTTTTTAGGAAATTGTAAGTTTTGCTGTGATGTTATTGCTATTTGAGATTTGGGGGTATGTCCTAAAAGGACTTTAGGCAGAGTCATTCTACTAATGGACATCTCCTCTGTAGCTCCTCTGTAGTGTAATAGTAATAATAGTTAATATTTACATAGTGTTTTAAGATTTGCAAAGCATTTGACATATATTATCTCATAATAACCCTATGAGGTAAGTGGTATTATCATTTCCATTTTATATGCTTATTTAATTAATCTCTAGAACAAATACTATTCCTTCCCCTAACAAGTAGCAAAGGCAGGGATTCAGATTCAAGTCTTGCACCTGAAAGTCTGGTGTCCTTTCCACTATGTTATTCAGCAGGGGAAACTTAGGGAAGGTACATTTGAATGGATGGCAAATACCAGCTGAATATGTGTGTAAAGTATAAACAGTTTTGAAGCCAAACTTTTTTTAATATCTGAGAGGTTAATAATATAAGGATCCAGGATATTCAGCAAGTTTCTTTTTCTCCTCTCAAACTTTTTAAGTCATGCCTGACTTTTTGTGACCCCATTTGGCTTTTTCTTGGCAAAGATACTGGAGTAGTTTGCCATTTCCTTCTCCAGCTCATTTTGCAGATGAGGAAACTGAGGCAAACAGGGTTAAAGGCTTGCCCAGGGCCACACAGCTAGTAAGTGTCTGAGGCTCGATTTGAACTCATGAAGATGCATTCAGCACTCTGTCTATTGCATCACCCAGCTGCTCCCAGCTCTCTGCCTTGTTTTATAATCTCCCTCATAGCTTGGTATAGGTTCTCAGTACTGGTGTTTCACAATCCTCTATACCCCCCCTCCTCTGACCTAAAAAGATTTTATAATTGTGATACATAAACTAATGCAGGATAAACTTAAGTTATAGCTGGACCTTAACATTCACCCTTAAGTCATTGTCAAAGAGTTTATTTATATCTGCTGCCCTTTTCCTGTTAAAATAAAACTGACAGTTTCTTTTGACTTTGTAGCATCTGCAAATTAAGCCATATTTAGAACCTGTGGTCTTGATTTTAAAGGTCATTTGAAATATTTATTATTATATTTGTGATATACATATATGAGTGTATATGTATGTGTATACATACAGATACACACATGCACATACATAGACATATATTACTTCTCCAAGCCTTTTGGGCAATGGGAGTGGGAACATAAAGTCTCTGAATCTAACTTTGCAAAAGAAAATTCTCTCTGTGGACTGTTTTCACCATCAGAAGTACATGTTAATATTCAAAACCTTAATAATGTCCTATTTCAAGAAAAAATAGCATAGTTCAATGGAATGAGTGATGAATCTAGAGTCAAAGGACCTTGTATGAATGTTCTCTCTGTCTCTCATCCTTCCTCTCCTCTTATATCCCCTCCCCTTTTCCCTCTCCTCTTCTTTCCCTTCCCCTCTCTCCTCTACCCCCATTTTTCCTCTTCTTTCTCCTCCCCTTTCCTCTCTTCTCCTCTTTTCTCTCTCCTCCCCTCTTTCTCTCTCTTTTACCCTCCCTTCTCCTCCTCTCCCTGTGTGAACTTGTCACTTAACCCTTCTGAGGCATGATTTCCTCATTTGTAAAATGAGGGAGGTGAACTAGAACTCTAAAATTCCTACAATCATGGAATCTGGGCTTTTAATCCTGGTTTATTGCTTCAAAATAAATTTTTGTAATTGATGGGCAAATGTATCTCACAGAAACATCTGAAGTCTCTTGTTTTACTCACATATACACACACACACATTTTGTCAGCTTCTTTCAAGCTTTAGGTCACAAATTTGTGACTAGTCTTTCCATAGATAGCTTAGTCCAATAACTCTACCATAATGATAGCAGCTGACTTTTAGATGATTCCAAAGCTCCTTCACCAACAGTGATCCACACAGTGCTGTGAGCCCTCCTACCTGTGAGGTAGGTAGTATAAATGTAATTCCAGCTTTCTGATGACTCCCTAGGTGATGAATGAAAGTACAGTCAATGAATTGACTCTCTGTGATACTGAGGAGTATCACATAGCACCTATTTTTACTTTTGTAATAAGAGATTCCATCTATTGTCATATTTGAAAGGCCTAACCCAGATTGAGGGCAGCTAAGTGGCACAGTGGATAGATTGCTGGGCCTGGGACACTTAATAGCTGTGTGACCTTTGTAAATCACTTAACCCTGTTTGCCTCAGTTTTCTCCTCTGTAAAATGAAACGGAGAAGGAAATGGTAAATCACTCCAGTATCTCTGCCAAGAAAACCCCAAACAAGGTCACCAAAAGTTGGACATGACTGAAATGACTTACCAACAAACCTAGATTGAAGAATGCTAAGAGTCAACACTTCTGCAGCAAGATCCACATCTCTGCTTAGGCCTATATTCATCACATGGCCATGAAATGCTGAGAATGATGGGTAGCGTATGTGTGTATATTTATGTATGTGTATGTGTGTATTTTATTTACATGATTTTTAAAACAAACACCTCCTTTCCTCCACCATCAACACAGAATATATTTGTTCTTTGGCTAACTACTTCCTGCCAATATCTTCTTTCTTGCTGGCATGTCCCATATGTCATTGGTTGCCTGTTTCTGTATATATCATTATTGGAACTTTGCTTTGGGTCTTTAAAAAAAACGAATAACCCCATGCCTGGGTAATGAGTAATTCAATAAAGGAATCTCTAGGTATCTAATCCATTGCTTTCTGTTATATCTGTGTTTTCAAGAGTTCCCTGTAAAAAATGTATTGTTGTTGGTAATGGCGCAGTTTTAAAGAATAAGACACTGGGAGAAAAAATCGACTCCTATGATGTGATAATAAGGTAAATACATTTCTTCCATTCTGTTGCATAACTGTTTAAGAAAGTATAGTTCTTATGTATTTCCATAAAAAGTGATCTTTACATTTTAAATACTAACTGGTTACCATTCATTGTCCCCCAAAGATTTGCTGTAATTCTTAGAGTTTTGGCAATTTCTAGAGTATAAGTTATCTTCCACCTTCACTAAATTATCATGATTGTTGTTTATTTTTGTATAGTTAGACTCTTTCTGTGGATACAAAAAATCATGTGGGAGAGAAATCTTATATAACAGATGATTCAATAGCCCCTTTCCCATTTAGTGGTTAAAGTATTTAATTAAGATGTCTTTTGTGCAATATTTATATTTCTGTACCTTTAAAATGTCAGATTCCATTAGAAATATTTACCTGTCAAAATGCTATAATGCGTAATTTGGGGACTGATGAAATTGCAGGTTTTTCTATTGTTGTTATTGGTGGTGGTTTAAGCAGACTGCTTCTTAGGGTATTTGGCATTTCAGATTTTAAAGCTAAGTAAAGATTTACAGCAACAAGGATAGAAATAAAAAGACCCTCATAAACTCATGCTCAGATTAACTGGAAATCCTTATTTACCAAGCATTTAGGTCAATCAAGATTTGCCCTATCTAAATACATTCCATAGGTAGAATCTTCCTAATTAAACATATTCAATTTGTGTGTGATGTTGGGAGCATGGCTATAATATAAGTGGGTCAGGGTTCCCAAGGTTTAGGGTTTCCAAATTTAAAGTTAATGACTCTAGATTTATCAAAATTCAGTTTATCCCTAAATGAAACAATGTATCTGTGGCATAAAATGAGATAGAAGTCTAACGTTGTGGAGTCAAAGATTATTAATATTATTAATGAAAATATATTCAGAGAAGATGTCATTGCACAACATTACAAAAACCTGCGTATTCCATTTTTTTTTCTAGTTGAATGTTTTTTAGCGGGGCAGGTGACTTTGCTTTTCAGCTACAGAACAATACTAATACAGAGCAATAATATGTTTCACTGGTTTATATGTTATGGTCATAGATACTTAGTTTCACATTCTCTAAAAACAAATCCAAAAGGGGGAAGAAAAAAAAAGCCAGAAACACTAGTCCAATCCTGTGCTCACGTGTGGATCATGCACTCTTGTAGGTGAGCTATGCATTTTTCAGAGCACAGTGATGAAAAGGGAAGAACACTGGACTAGGAGGCGGTGGATAAGGGCTCTATTGACCAAGTCATTTCACCATTCTGCAAAAATGGGGAATGGGAGGGAGCCGGACTGGATGACCTTTAAAGCCCCTTCCAAGTGTAACCATTTTTTTTATTATGGTTTTCTACAAATCGTAGAGGGAGCATAGAATTATCAAGCTAGAATCCAAGAGGACTTTCTAAGAGATCTAGCCCAGGGGCAGCGAGGTGGCACAGTGGATAGAGCACTGGCCTTGAAGTCAGGAGGACCTGAGTTCAAATCTGGCCTGTGACCAAACACTTGACACTTACTAGCTGTGTGACCCTGGGCAAGTCACTTAACCCCAATTGCCAGGGGAAAAAAAAGATAGCAAAAAATAAATGGGAGATCTAGCCCAGCACCCCATTTTGTAGCCATCCCCTGACTCCAAGCATTTTCTCTGGTTGTCCCCCAAGTCTGGAATGCCCTCCCTCTTCATCTCTGCCTCATGGTTTCCCAGACATCCTTCAGGTATCAACTAAAATCATCTTCTACAAGCAATTTTCCTGATCCTCCTTAATTCAAATATCTTTCCTCTGTTAGTTATTTCCAACTTATCCTGTATATAGGTTTTTTCCTCTTTTTTTTGTGGGGGGGCAGAGGAAGGAAACAGCTAGGTGGTACAGTGGATAGAGCACCGGGGTGTGGAGTCAGGAAAACCTGAATTCAAATCCAGCCACAGACTAGCTGTGTGACCCTGGGCAAGTCACTTAACCCTGTTTGCCTGTTTTCCTCATCTGTAAAATGAGCAAATGGCAAACCACTCCAGTATCTCTACCAAGAAAAACCCAAATGGGGTCACAAAGAATTGGACACGGCTGAAAAACGACTAAACAATAAGAAACTTGTTTTTATACAGTTCTTTGCATGTTGTCTCCTCAGTTAGACTGTGCTTCTTGAGGGCAGGGACTGTCTTTTACCTGTCTTTGTATCCTCAGCTCTTAGCACTGTGGTTGGCACACAGTGGGTGCTTAATCAGTGTTTATTGACTGACTAACCAAGGAAACTGAGGCCCAAGGAGGTTGTTAATGAATGACTCAGCCCAGGAACCCCAGAGAGTAAGCCTCAGAAGTGAGATTTGAACCCAGGCCCTCTGACCCCACAGCCAGTGTCCTTTTATCATATCCCCTTCCAAGCAAATGAGATGTAGCCTCTCTTGGCCCCTTACATTATATTATAAAGAAATGAAAATACTCCAACTATACTGAAAATTTCAACCAAAATTTTCTGAATTCAGGGTTTCTACCAACTTGACAAGTAAATGGCTGAAACAAATTACACATCCCTGCCTTCGGTAAGGAGGTATCAGCTAACAGTCACCCTCTTAGGGGTCACAGAGGTAATGACTTGCCTGTGGAAAGCAAGGAAGGGCCTTCCTGGGCCATTGTTTAAGAAATTGAAGATTGTTTTGTGCTTCAGAAGTGGGGTGACCCAGGCTGTTTTGCCTGTGGTTTTTTAAAGGTCCTGTCATTATGAAATCTCTTCATGCTGTGGTAAAGGACAAGAGCAGATTTACAGCTACATTGAATTTCCTCTGCAGAATAAATGATGGACCTGTCAGAGGACATGAAGAGGATGTTGGGACAAGGACAACTTTCCGGATTTTTTACCCAGAATCTGTCTTTTCAAACCCAGCCGACAATGATCCTAAGTCTGTTGCCATCCTTACAGTCTTCAAATCTCATGACTTAAAGTGGTTGTGGGAAGTGCTGGCTGGCATCACGCCAGTAAGTTGGTCTAAAAGGTTTTTTTTTTAATTTTTGAAAACATTCGATTTTTTTAAAAACTATTTTTCAATGCTAATTTTAATCATTTTGCTACTTCTTTATTTTAGGAGGTTAATTATTTTTGGAAGAAACCAGCCTTAAATCTCATCTATAAACCTGAAAAAATCAGAATCTTAGATCCTATTATTACAAGAATAGCTGCTTTCAACTTGCTTCATTTTCCTACAACTTTTCCCCAAAAAGAGGTATGGACTTTTTCACTTATTCTTTAACAATTCCAAAATCAGGATTTTTTTTTTTAAGGGTCAAAAGAAGGGCTTTGGGCAAAAGGGCCTGTAAACTAGAGAGGAGTGGTGTCTCTACTGGGATTATTCTGAGATGTATGGAAGGACTAAGAATGCTCACATGTGCCTATTTGATTTTGCATGTGTTTTTAATGTCTGTGTATAGATGTATATGTATACATGCATACATATGTACATGTATGTGTGTGTACATATATGTATATTTATATAGAGAGGATATGCATATTTATATATACATATATTTCTATATACATAGAAGAAATGCCTATTTCTATGAATATAGAAATATATGTGTGTGCCCAGATCAATGAAGTCTCACCCTGATACCTAATCACTGTGTGGAGATTGCCCTGCTTTTTCAAAGGCAGACTTTGGGCCTGTCCTACAAAACTGAAGAAGCTTTGATTATGGACAAGGGATGGGCTGTTTGCTTCCTAGCTGAGGAAGAGCCAAGCTAAACCGAGCTAAGCATGGGGGAGTGCCTAGGTTATAGCACTTTACAAAGGCTTGTCTATAAGCCTTGTGGGGCATGCACAACCTACATGAATGGAAGGAATGCCCACACTGATAAAGTGATGGATCTTTTGAGGTTTTGAAGTAAGTATGGATTGTATAATCTATTCTTATGTAATTGACATGGATTTTTTTCTTCTTTTATGTTTGTTTTGTCTTTTGTCCCTTGATTGTCATAGATTAGAAGGAGAATAGGGAGAGCCAGGACTTTTAGGGTTACCCAGAACCTAGGGTCCTAGGCTAATAGATCTAGGGCTGGAAGGGAACTTAGGGGCCATATATCTGGCATAGCCCTCTCATTTTGCAGATAGGGAAACTGAGGCACAGATATTAAGGAGCAGAGCAAGCTGCTATGGGCAGAGGTATGATTTGAATCCAGATCTTCTGGAATCAAGGTCTAGTGCTCCATCCCCCACACCATTCTGCCTCTTAGATTCTCAAAGGCAGCTGAGTGGCTCAATGAATAGTGCACTGGGCCTGGAGTCAAGAATAACGGAGTTTAAATGTGACCTTGGACACTTACTAGCTCTGTGATCCTGGGCAAGTTACTTAGCCCCTGTTTGTCTCAGTTTCCAGAACTGTAAAATGGGGATAATAATAGCACCTACATTCTAGGGTTGTTGTGAGGATCAAATGAGATATTTATATTATTATTATCATTATTGTTTTGAGTTGTGTTACAGAAAACTGCCTTAGAAATAGTGGCCAAAGTAACATTAGTTCTTTAAAGACTGAGGTGTTATTTTAAAATAAATCTTGTCGACTATGTACTATCCAGACCCATTTAGAGTGTCAGCAAAACAAACATCCGTGTGTAGTCTGCTTTTTTATCTGTAGGTCTGATAAGGGGGAAAAAACCTTTACATTTGAAAACTCAGCTACATACAATTAAGGTAAAATATTTCAATTCCACAATTCAGGCAAACAGTTTAGAAATTTGGATGCTTATTTATAAGTAGCACTTGATGATGGCAAAGGACAGTTGCTGAATGGGTTCTCTGTCTTACCAGCCCAGGGAAGGATTTTCGTTGATTTCCGTTGACTAATTGACCTAACTGAGCTTTAGCAAAGATGGAGGGTGTTAGACTTAACATAACAAGATTCTGTCATCTGTTAGGACGCAGCAGAAAGAAATGGATTTGCCATCAGAAGACTTTAGTTTTCAAAAACCCTGGGCTTCAGTTTTCTCTCTGTTAAAACTGAGGCATTCGAATAATTTTGATTCAGTGCTCTCTAAGGTTTCTTCCAGCTTGATCCCTTATTATACATCAGCAGAATGGGGTGAACAAGAATTTTGCCCAGAAACACTGGAATTTCAAGGCTTCTGACAGCTTTGATACGATTTCAACAGATAGAAAGAAGTGAACTTAACTCTTAATTAGTAAGAATAAGGAATCTCTCAAATGGGCTTCCCCCATTGTCCAATGTGCCGTACTTCTTCCTCTTCCCCAGTGTACCTCCTTTTCACCTATCCCTGAAGCCTCCCCAGCAAAATCTTTTAAAAATGACTGGGAAGTTGTCCTAAGGTCTCTTTCCCCACAGGGCAGGAATGGGGAACCTGCAGCCTTGAGGCCACATGTGGCCCTTTAGGTCCTCAAGTGCAGCCCTTTGACTGAATCCAAACTTCACAGAACAAATCCCCTTAGTAAAAGGATTTGTTTTGTAAAACTTGGACTCAGTCAAAAAGCTGCACCCAAGGACCTAGAAGGCCTTGAGGCTGCAGGTTCCCCATCTCTGCCATGAGGTCTCATGTCTTGAGGTCCAAGATCTCTTCTCAAGAGTCTACACACTCCCTGAGTCTGTTTCCTCATCTGTAGCTCTGAAACTTATGGATGGTGAAATAATACATATATAATGTAATAACATTAACATAGTAATATGTTATAATATACATGTATATAACCTTATTCTATATTAGATACATCTTGTGTTTGTATGTATGTAAATATACATATGGCATATTAAGTGGAAGGCAAAGAAAAGGGGCACCTAATATTGAACTTAATTGGCTTTGTACTACTCTAGATCATTGGTCTCCAAAGTGGGAGCTTTGGCCTGACCCCAAGAAATAGGTAATCATTCAGTGGAGGGAAGGAAGATGGGTCATGTCACACCCTCTCCATGATAGCTAACATGGGGTTTGTCTTAATACACTCACTTTTAGCTTTATCTTCTAACACTATCCCCTCTCTCTCTCTCTCTCTCTCTCTCTCTCTCTCTCTCTCTCTCTCTCTCTCTCTCTCTCTCTCTCTCTCTCGTTCACTAGGTAAGCAAGTTCTGGCTCTGGGGCAGTGATGGGGTGATGAACCAACCCCCCCCCCGCCACCTTCTCCCTTTTCATTTTGTATGGGATAGGATGAGCAGGCATGGATGATCTGAAATATCCATCACACATTTTATTACCTCCATATTGTTTGATTTTTTCATCTGTATTCTGGTAAAGAAAAAAAAATACTTTTTACATTTGAAACTTAGCTATTTACAGTTAAGGTAAAATATATCCATTCGGTAATTTAGACAAACAGTTTAGAAATCAGATGCTTATTTATAAGTAACACTTGAGGGCAAAGAACAATTACTAAATGTGTGCCTCTTCTCACCTTCCGTGTTTCTCACCAATATCTTTCTAGCCACCTAGGTTTGCCTCCTCGGTGTCATCTTTAACTCACATACCCCCTCCCTGACATATCCAAGCCTTGGCATTTCTCTGTCCACAACATTGCTGTCATCACTCCTGTTCTGCCCCCTAACATAGCCACTACACCTTAGTCCAGATCTTCATCACCTGGATTGGTACAATAATTTAGCTGCCATGGTGATTTTCCCAAAGTGCAGGTCTGACTACATTATTCTTCTGTTCAATAAACTCCAGTGGTCCCCTGTTGAGTCTAGGATCAATATTAATTCATCTTTATCTCATTCTTTTTAAATTTGTATCTTTGTGTAAGTTTTCTAGTATATACAATAGCATATGTATATGATTATATGATTATCTATCCATCTATCCATATATATGTAGGGAATAGTGATCAGATTTTTTTTCACTGATTAGAATGCATCATCAAAAAAGTTTGATCATGCTAAGAATTGTTTAATTAATAAGATTCAGTGGCAGAGTAATAATATTTGGGATAAAAAATTCTTCCTGCCATATACAATTAAACCTTCTGAAATGGTATAACTACAGGTCCTTCTGAAGTAACAGAAGCAACCAGGTTCCCTTAGGTTATTAGAATGACATGTTAACAGAAAGGAAACTCCTTGATTCATTGTAAAAGAGGAAGGATATAATACTTAACAAAAACTTTATGTACTGTATTCACCTTTGAATGCCATGGTAGAGAAGTTATTAACACTGCAATGTAAAAGTCACTTGGTAAAGGCAAGACTGTGTCCCTTCAAACAGGATGTGTTGGAGAAATGCTCTGAAATTTAAAGGGACACTTCTCTAAAAAATGAGCAAATTATGTGTATGATACTAGTAACTTTTTATTTTTTTGTCAGGTGATGATTGTCACAGTTCTGTCTTTCGGGTTGTTTGACTGCAGAGACCCCTCCCTTTAGAACCCATGCATATTTGCAGAATCCCCTTAATAATTTGTCATCAAGGCATAAACATTTAACATTATCTTTGATTTTCAAAAATATAGTTTTAAATTTCACAAGTTTTGCATAGGCAAATTGAAAAATACTTTCACAAACTAGATAAACAATTTATCTTAGGAACACAATGTTAAATAGCAATTAATTTTCTAATTACCCTTCATCACTACCAGCATATGGTGACACAAATACATGCTATTTCTCTAGCCCAGGAAAGTATCTTAATAAAATAGTCTTTTTTAAAAATAAGTCCTGTGGGATTTGCATTATTCTAGGTAAATACAGTGATTGTATGTAGTGCCTTTCATTTTTTAGGATGTGTTTAATTCCTCTGTGGCAAATGCTTTTTATTGAAGATAAGATTCTTCAACTCCATGATGCTTTAAAGTAGGCTGTTGTTTTAGACTTTCCTTGCAGGTTACAAGCCCTTTATACCCTGTTTCTCATTGCTTTTAGAAACCCAAACACCCAACAACAGGGATCATCGCCATCACACTGGCATTTTACATATGCCATGAAGTTCACTTAGCAGGTTTTAAGTACAATTTTACTGATATAAATGGGCCTTTGCACTATTATGGGAATTCAGCCATGTCTGTGATGATCGAGGTAAGGAAAGCATGCCTCCATGGGGTCCTCTTGGGGGAGAGGGATGTGGTTAGTGAAAACAGGTCTTTTGCATGACATTTGGCTGCATTTTCTGAAGCTTTTTAAAGGTTTGGATTCTGTGTTGCTCTGTTGCCATAGCTCTGAAATTTCCCTTACACAATATTCTCAAGATTATGATGTTACAAGTGTATGCTGGCAGTGTGCATTAGGACAGCCTCATTATTCACAACTTCTCTTGAGTCAGGGGGTTATTTTGCCACATTCTAAAGATGAAATTTGTCCAGAATTAATTCTCCTATTGCCAATTTTATTTGTCGTTCTATAGAATGAGATAACACAAGCTCTGTGAACATCAGTGACAGTCTCAGAAGCCGAGCAAAAAAGCCACACTTTTGGTTAAGTCCTGCATAGACCTCATATTTCCCAATATATCCAAAAATATCACTGAGCCTGGGCGTATCTCGAAGTGACTTACAACTAACAGGCCCAGAGTGACCCACAGACAATGTGGATTGTTTAAAAATGAAACAGAGTCCCTCAGATCACTTCCAAACTCATCTAAAGCCAGAGAGGAAGGAACCTTATTTTGATTAGATCTGCCTACTTAATTTTAGGGAAGCTAGGTGGTGCAGTGCATAGAGCTCCAGGTCTGGAATCAGGAAGACCTGAGTTCAAAGGCAACCTCAGACATTTACTCCCTGTGTGACCCTGGGCAATTCACTTAACTCTCTTTGCCTCAGTTTCCTCATCTGTGAAATGACCTGAGAAGGAAATGGCAAACCATTCCTGTATGTAACCCCAAATTGGGTCATGAAGAGTTGGACATGACTAAAACAACTGAACAAAAACTTTTAAAAACTTAGTTTTAGACCATGCTAACTTCTGTTGGCTTCCTATGAAATAAGATAAATTGTTGGATTAACCTTTGATGCAGGCTGCGGTACATGCATTATTTAAAAAAGAAAAAACCTACTGGATTTAGAATCGAAAGACATGTCTCTGTCACTAGCTATTTGAACTTGGACAAGTCATTAAGCCTCACTGTCCCCATTGGTAAAATGAAAGCAGTGGATAACCTCCAAGGCCTCTTCTCAACCTAAATCCTATGAACTTAGGTCACCTAAGAGCTATCCCCCCCATTCCCCAGAGCCTTTTCTTTCTTCCCTCCTTCCTCTCTTTCCTTCTCCCTCCCCGGCCTTCCTCCCACCAGCACCCTGCCTCTCCCTCAGTGGATGGAGTGCTTGGCCTGGAGTCAGGAAGATTCATCTTCCCAAGATCAAATCTGGCCTTAGGGCACTTACTAGTTGTGTGACCCTGGGCAAGTCATTTAACCAACCCTTAACAACAAAAATGCTTATCCAAAAGGGAAGTAATATCAGAAAGGATACCTCTTTATCTTGTATGTACATAGCTGCTTACATGTTGTCTCCTCTGTTAGAATGTAAGCTCCCCGAAGGCAATATTATTACATGTCTTATATTCCCAGAAAGAAATTAATGTTTTTGTTGACTGCCTCCAGCATGGCTCAGGAAGCAGTACAGTGCAGTAAACTTGGAGCCAGAGGACCCAGGTTCAAATCCCGACTGTAATTATTATCCATGTGACCTAGAACAAGTCAGTTAATATCTCTGGGTCTCAGTTCTTCATCTATAAAATGAGGTGGGGGTGGGTTGAACTAGAAGGCTGTAAAGTCTCTTCTAGCTCTCGAGTAGATGATGCTTTTTTCCCATTTCAATTAAAATTCTTCATTATTTTCTTGGCCTGGACAAATTTTTTTTTTTTCAGGGAAAACCTAGCCATTTGGCTAGGTGGTTGTTCAGTAATTTTTCAGTCACGCCTGACTCTTCATGACCCCATTTTGGAGGTCTTCTTGGCACAGATACTGGAATGGTTTGCCATTTCTTTCTCCAGCTCATTTTGCAGATGAGGAAACTGAGGCAAACAGGGTTAAGCAACTTGCCCAAGGTCACACAGCTAGTAAATGTCACACTGGATTTGAACTCAGGAAGATGAGTATTCCTGACTCCAGGCCCAGAGCTCTATCCCCTGTGCCACCTAGCTGCCCATAGGCTGGTTTAGGTCCTACCCAAATTAAAAAAGTGATTTTTTCATGGGATGAAAAGGTGAGTTTGAGAGATGCCTAAATAAAAGAGATATAGCAAGTATGCCCTTTTAGAAAAACTATGGCTTTTCATTATTTTTTGATACTTCACTAGAGAGAAACAGAGATTTAGTCTTAGATATTCCCTCATATTCTGGCAGACTTAATTTTTTATAATTTTGCTTTTTCTTTCTTTGTCTTTAGAATGAATACCACAACATAACTGCAGAACAGATTTTCTTAAAGAGCATCATAGAAAAGAACTTCGTTATTAATTTGACAAAAGATTGACCCTAAAGACTCAAGATATTGATATTTCATTGGTATTTTTTTTTTATAAAATTTGAGTTTATTCTTTAAAATGTCAAGCTACTTCTGTAAAACACATCCTTCAGTTTTTGTATAATTGTTAGGAAGTGTTCAAGACCTGAGTCTGTTATTGTCTGCTGGTCTAGATTAGACAGAAGTTGCATTCTGTGAATATATTTAATTATGAAAACAAATTGCAGTTAAGAGAGCAGGACAAATGTTAGGATATTCTGAAAATTCAGTGTTTAAAATGAAAGAATCCTAACTTTAAATTCTCATTTGGAAGAAGTCTACATTTCTAAGAATCAAGAAAATTGGGTGGCTCCACAGTTCTCTTCAGATACCCCAATCAAAATGATAATCATCTTCTGAAAGTTAGACTACCTGAGTAGAGTTGATCCAGGATGAGCTGGGCCTGAATATTATGGGAATAAAGGAACAATAATAGCATTGTGTCTATGGAATTATAAGTTTTTATCTGAATCATCTGGAGATTTCAATTTGTAACCTTTGTATCTCTGACTCCGGAGCTGTGTTTTGACCAAAGTTAACTGACTAGCCTTAACTTTCTGTTTAATCTCTATTGTTTTTTTTCCTCTCATGGAAGGCCATGGCAGTGCATTTCTGCATCTGGAGACATTCATTTAAGTTTACAGTGGTGATATGTCTTTAGAATGAAATAGAAATTGAGTTTTTAGAAGTGTAAATGTAAATTATAAAAATACTTGAATGAAAAATACTTGAATAAAAACGGGAGTTTTTTTTTCTTCAAAATGTTACAAAAGTCATCCTTGTAACTCTTGTAGTCATATAGACACTTCTTTTAGGGACTGCCTTTCTTGCCACAGGTTGTCTCTAGTCTAGACATGTTTTTCCCCCCTCCCTCCCCTCCTGATTGATTTTCTTGAGTATTTGATGCTTAAAAACTTTACATGAAGTAAACTTCCAGGCCCATGCTATCTTCAACTGGGTTTCTTAGCCTGTCTTTGGTTTCTCACTACCTGTGATATCACTGATAGGAAACCAATTCAATGCACTTGAACAAGACCTCTATCCCTCCCTATAAAACCCCACTGAGCTGCCCTGATGTATGGACAAACTAGCTATAACCATTCTGAACTACTTGGCCTAAGTGGATGGGTAGTTGTGGACCATCAATCCCCTTCTCTCTCTGGCTGTAGCCTGAAAAGTCATCTTGTCAGTGATTTGGAGGACTTTTCCAGCTGTATCCTTGACTGTTCCTACCCAGTTTTATACCTTAAGTCTCCCCTTTTATCAATTAAAAATGCATTTGTAATAAAGACCTACTGCTTTCAGCATCCTAGTTGTCTACCTCAGTATCCCCCAATATGGCTGCAATAGATGAAGACAATCTAATAATTCACAATATTTGCCTGGCTTGAAGTCCCTGGATCTCTCACATAATGTTTCCCCCTCACATTCTTCCTCTTACCCACAGCCCACTCATTTTCAAAGTACCACCCACTTCACTACCAAAATACCTCCTGTGCCCCCCCTTTTTTTTTTAAGCAACTATCTTCTAACTGCCTCTGGTCACTGGTCCACTACAATTTCTCTTCCTAAAGCACTGCTTTGGTTGTTATTCACTACTACCAAACTCTTCAGTGACTTTCCCTTGGCTTACAGAACGAATTTATAACTTAATCGGGGAATTCCCCCTGAACTAAATAAAATATCCTGTGCTTCCCCTCTTCAGTATTTTCAGTCATTCTGTTCTGCCCTAAAATGTCCTTCCCACAGCAACGGTTCTGTCTACTTAAATTCTCATATGCCTCTTTCTCCATGATTCCTCCCAAATCTTCCACCTACCTCCACAGCACCCCAACTGTGTTTAAGACCTTCTTGGTAGCCTTGTATTTCTATTTTATGTAAATGTCATCCCTTTTACTAGATTGTAAGCTTTTTGAGGCAAGGACCACATCTTCTTAATCTGTCTCCCCACAGTGATTTGTATGTAGTAGCTGCTTAATAAAAGCTTATTTAAATTAAGAAAAAGTAGTGTTAAATATATTTATCCTCATCCTAAGGTTGAACCCTGTCCTCTAGCATATCAGTGTGTTCAATTTCTTTTAATTTTACATTTCTATGAAACAGGTGTATCATGAGTAAATTTACTAGATTAGATCATAAGCACTGAGGATCAAGATGAAACAATACAAAAGAGAAAGGAAGATATAGTTCTCCACTTTGTCAGCTTTATGTGGAGCTTCCAACTTTGACAATTATTTTGGTAATAAAGAAACTAATGCTGTGCGCTCTTGACAAGCTGTTTATGGTGTAAACCTCTAGGTTCTACTCCAGAGGGTGAAATTAGGAATTACATAATAAATCATGGGGCCTGGAGGAGGAGACCTGCGGAATGAAGAACAGTTTGGAGAATCACTGTTTTTGGACTGTTTCATGTAGAAAAAGGACTCTAAGATTAAATCATGATGATGACCAGAAGCCCCATGAAGAAAAAAAGTATTCCACCTACTTATACAGGTTTAACAGTAGCAATGAGTAATGTAAGTATATATACATACACACACACATATATACACATACCACTTCAATAGGTAACACTTAACAACCTTGTTACCATCTCTGAGTGCGCACTAGTAGAATTCAGAGGAAAAAAAGATTTAAAGAAGATTTAATGATTAAAAGAATGGGGAAAACAGAGAAAAATACAAAATGTGTCAGCTCTTACTGCTCACCCAATGACAACATTACTCACTTGAAGGGAAAGGATAAGTTTTAATTTAAGAACAAAAGTTTAAAATGGGGGGAGGGGGCAGCTAGGTGGCACACTGGATAGAGAACCAGCCCTGGAGTCAGGAAGCCTTGAGCTCAAATCTGGCCTTACACATTTACTAGCTGTGTGACCTGGGGCAAGTCACTTAACCCTGTTTGCCTCAGTTTTCTCATCTGTAAAATGAGCTGGAGAAGGAAATGGCAAACCACTCTTGTATGCGCGCCAAGAAAACTCCACATAGGGTCAGGAAGAGTCAAACACAACGGAAACAACTGAACAACAAGAGACTTTTGATATATCACGACGGTTTTCTCAATATTAGGAAAAATCCACCATTTTCTTCACATATAACGAGCATGGTATGTACATAATTTATTAAAAACATGAACACATAGAATTCTATTTATACAATCTAAATTCTAGCAACATATACAAATACAGAGTGACTACAAGTCCATGCTGAGGTAAGAAAAGTACATTCTGGGAGAATTATCACTGATCTTCAAACCATTCTCATTCCCCAAAAAATATTTCAATGAATATTTTGCTTCCACTTTTCCCAGTGTCAAAAGAGAAAATGTAACTTGGCACAAATAAAAATTAATAGGAAACGGTGCCAAAGCTGGCCTAAAAATTATGCCACCTTAACAGTGCTATCTACTAATTCTTAGACTGATGCAGTTTAGGACTTCATGTTAAGGCCAGACTAAAGACAAGGACAGAACTATCTAGCTTGGTATTTTTTAGGCATTGCTTCAGTGAATTAATTCACTATCTTGCAAATTCTCTCAATTTTATCTAATGGTGACCCATTTACAGAATGTCCCATCTCCCTTCTAGACAATTCTTTGTTTCCAGATAACGGGTGGTTGGGCAAGACTGTGAGGCTTAATTCTTAATTAAATGAGTCATTCACCTCCATCAGAAAACCCAAAACACCAACACATCCTGGTGTTGGATTTTTCACTTCTGTCACAAATCCTTTACTTGAAGATTTTCTTCATCAGTTAATTAACCCATTTTTAAATGAAAAGTGCAAATTGTGAAATGTGGACTTAACTGGATTAGACCCTCCATAAAAGAATAGGAGCTATGTGGATTTATAGCACTAAATAGTAGAATTCACAAAATTCTGGCTTTCACTGTGCTGGTTCTCAAAAGATCAAGTAACAGCTAAGTCAATGTGGTTCTATCAAACATTTACTCTTCTCGTAGTTACTAGATTCTAGGCCTATTATCATATTCACACAGTCTTGGTCTCCATAGAAATGTGACAAATTCAAACCAAAACAACATTAAGTATTTAAAACTTATAAATAAACATACTGAACAAGAAATCCAAACGTATTGAATAAGAAGTCCAAAAGGTTGTCTGGCTAAAAATGGTTGCCGTTTGATTGTCTCAGAGCCAGATATAGATGTAGATACAACAACACACATACAAAGTTGGGAAAATTCATTATGAAATTACCTAAATGGATTATCTAACAGAAAATTTATGTCCCCTCCCCCCTCCTCCCCCCAAAAAGTTTTGGATCGAATCAACCCAGCTCTTGAAATAACCAAAACACAATGCAAAAAGTGTTGTACCACAAAACAAAGAGACATTAGATAATCATCTCATAGTTATTTTGAGGACATCAAACTGGCAAACATGAATCAAATTGTTAAAAAATCTTCAACATGAAAGTCAAGTCTTAAAATCCATATCATATAAAAAACACAGTTCATTTGTTTCCCTGTAAAGCTTTTAAAGAAAATAAAACAAATAAAAAAAACCCCAGGTGTATATCTCATTACAATGAGGAAAAATAACCAAGAAAATCACTAACAAGTTTAACAGTTCAAAATGTATCCCTAAAAGGTTTTATTATGTGCACAGTTCCAGAACTGAATCTCTCCTCCTTATGCATGACAGAAAGGACTAAGTAGTGACACGTTCATCTTTTCTGCCTGAAAAGGGCTGACTTAATTGAGTTATGTTTAGCCATATTCATATTTATGTTTGCTAACATCTGTACTTTCTACTCTAAATATGCCCAAGGTGTATTTTGGTACCTCAAGTTAAAAATAAATAAATTTTGCCTCATGGGTTTTTTTTTTGTCATAATAATAACTTAAAAATGAAATTAAGTAAAGCTAACACTGGAAAGTAAACTTTTAATTATAGAACAAGTAAAATACAACATCCTTTCTTTTGGTGTGGACCTATGATTTCATCTGTATAAGCAGGGAACTTGTTGGTAAGGAAACTCTCTGGGACCAATGAGATGGAAATCCTTTTGTACCTTAAAGTGTTAGCACTGGCTGTAACCAGGGAACTGTAACTTAAATGTTAAGTGACTTACCCAGGTCACATGGCTAATGTCAGAGGCAGGACTAAAACCCAGGCCTTCCTGATTTCAAGGAATCACTACTCACTATCCACTATGCCATGCTGTCTTAAAAACAAAATCTGTAGCATCCATAATACTATCGCTTAAATATCTGGAATTGTACAAAACAAAAAATAAAATAAAATAAAATACTGTGCAACTTCACTAGTCAATTTACGCTGGTAAGAACATGATGACTCAGACAAGGTAAAACCAACATCTTTTAAATCCAAAAGCTGAATCAAAGAACTGGGCTCACACAAAAGAGACAGAGATGGTACCTTTTCTACTTCTACCAAGCCATTCAGCTGGTCAAAAGAATAAAAACTTTGGAAAGTTTTCTCCTCATCTAGGTCAGAAATAAAATATAAAGATGACTTCTGATTTTCCCCAGTGTAAGCCTTGGTTTCAAAGAAAATGAGCTACAATGGGGGGGTGGGAACACTGTCAATAAATATCAATTCAGATAAAGTTCCATTTGATTAGATGTGACACACAGTTCTATATCAACTGATATACACATTGACTTAGCTGTCCAAAAGGTCTGAGTTGCAGTCCTAAACTATTTTAAGATAGTAAATTGCTTAAAACTGTACTCAGACCTTTGGGACACCCCATGTCTCCCATGATAAGGTGTCATTAATCTTCCCTTCACATTGCAGCAGGACAAGAAAGGGACTGGAAAAAATGTTGCATTTGTTATCTGCTATAGAATGTCATATTCTACCATTTAAAAAATAAAGTTTAGAATCACTGCCAAAATAAAAAAAAATACACATTTTTATGCAATTAAAATGTATTCTGAGTTGTGGTTTGTGCTGATGTATTTCATTCTGATGACAAACATCAGTTGGGTCCCATTAACTTTCCCTTCACAACCTTTTGACAAGTCACACAGGTTCATTTATAAATCCTTTGCTACCACTGAACACATGAGTCGGGGGGAAAACCTGCTGCATAACTTTTCTCAGCTGTAAAGTGGCTGTTGAGCCACAGAGAATCTCCACTCACTAGGCTGCCCAAGCAGAACCCACTGAGGATGCTCAGAACAAAGCCCCTAAGAACACTGATGGCCATGGCTTTGGGCCAAATTAAGAGGAGGCTGAGTGCAGACTTTGGAAGAAATCAGCAAGGAGCATAAATTATGTCATCTACCATTCAAAGCTTTTAAAGCTGTAGATTTTTTATCTCACTCAAGATTTAGATCTATAGGACAGTTACTAAAAGCAATTCATTGTTATTACAGGATTCTCAACTTTAAAAACATAAACGATAACATGGGAACCAGAGAGGAGATAAATCAGGACAGTTTCCACCTTCGCATGTAGATCTTAAGAACTTCAAGCCATTTACTAGAACAGTACCATTAGCATTTATTGCTAGTAAGGCTTACAGAGCCATTACTTTAAGTTCATCAATGTACCTGCAGCATCAGTAATAAATATTTCATCTCAGTGATTTTTTCAAATTCTTTGAAGTGCATCTGAGGTGCTCTCTTATGACTTAAAGAATATAGCATTTTACAGTAGTAACAAAACAGGATATTAAATCATGAGTAGGGAAGCGTCAACAATTGTGTGGTGTATATCTTCAAAGCAGAACAGCCAGATTAGTAGTTTCCTGTACCTCAGTAATAATATTTTCCCTCAATCATTTCAGTGATAGGTATTGATAGACTTTTTCATATATTACCATGACTAGTACAAAAAAATTCAATGTGCTTTAAAAATGATGCTTTGGGAAAAGTGGCATCCCCTTCAAAGGATTTCCTTAAAACTGTCCTCTTCTCCTTCCCTCCCTGCTCCGGATACTTCCCCTTTGCTTCCAGCTGTGTGGAGTGTGCCCTGGGGTACCTGGTACATCATTTCATCGGGGGCACTTAGTCCTGGTTTCCCTCCTTTGGGAGTGTCGTACTCTGCACATGTCAGAGGGCAGCTGTCAGTCCGAGAGAGTTTATTGTAGGTTTCCACTAAAGCAGGTGCTTTGTTCCCTGTAGCCTTGAAGGTGGATGTAGAGGGTGCCCCACCCGAGGCGGTGGGGTGGCCTGACATATCCATGATTATTGGTGTGGCGTATTCTGGCCCAGTAATAGGCAGTGGTTCCGCATATGCATGATAAACTTCTTGCACCGGAGAATTATAAGGATCGAGGTCGGCATAGCCTGCTTCTTTTCCTTCCTCTGGTTTAAAGGTTGATCTCTGATGAAGCGTACCAACGATTCCTCCCACCAATGGCTGAGCATACTCTGTGTGATAACATAAAACAGAAGACTTACTCATCCAACTATGATCCAGGAAGAAAATTATCTGTGCTGTCACAGAGCTGCCACTGAAAACACAGTGCTCTATAGCCCTTCCTGCTGCCATCTTCAAAACAGTGAAACCTTTCCAAAACAGCATCATCCACTTTGGGAGAAAGATTTCTTGGAGATATGTAACGAGACTATGGTAATGTAATGTCCTTTAAAAACTCATAGTACTTGAAAACGTTTGTATTAAGCGTTCTTAAAATGGGCTTTGGCAATACTGCAGGTTTCTGGCCTGTACAATAAAGAGACTGGTCCAGATGACCTCTAAAGTTGTCGTAGTGTAAAGGTCACAGGTATAATGACTAGCAATTTCTTCTTGGACATGTTCACATCCCTTCTCTTGAGCCTCAATTTCCTAATCCGTAAAATGAAGCTGCTTTGGTCCCTTCTCAATTCTGCATTTCTATAATTCTATGATGCTATACTGGAGCAAGATCAACTTCCACCAACAAGCAAATCGTTTGTTTTTCTTTCTTTTTTGGAATACTTAACATTTCAAATGGCTGTACGTCCTGGTAGTTAATAAACATAAATACTCTGGGAGGAAAAGACAGAAGAAACCCTGGAGGTCATATAATCCAACTCCCTCTTTTTATAAATGAATAAATTGAGGCACAGAGATGGTAAGTGAATTATCCAAGGTCACAGAGGAACAGAGGTACACAAAGTAACAGAGATGGGATTTGAAACCAGATCCTCTGACTCCAAATTCAGAGTCTAAGCTATCTCCATACTCTAGGTACTTTTTTTGATGGATGAAGTGCCTAAGTCACACAAGTAACTTAAGTTCATTCACTTCTGAGACAAAGGTAATACTACAGATGAAGACCCCTTTGTCTCACCTTCTTCAACTCAAGCCCCTTGAATAAAAGGAACATGAAAACAATCCAGTATTGCTACTTAAGAATAAAAATTTATTGTGCTCTAACTTTGACCAGAAGAAATTTAAACAAAAATGGCCTAATTACCATTACTATACAATTAATGATAATACTATATAGTGTGCTCCAAAACTACAGTAATCCTCCAACAAACACTAGTTCCTGGAAAATATGATCTTGGATAAAACTAGAGGAGAAAAGCTGGTGTCATGGAATTTACTACAATGCTAAATGTGAGCACTTAGCAGGATTTACAGTATTACAGTTAGGTCTTATTATAAAGTACTAATTATTTTATTGTAAAATGTTAACACAGGGTATGCCCATACATCCTTCCGAGTGGTTACCTGCAGTTTCAGTCTGTAACACAGATGTTACTTCTCTTGGTCTCAAGTGGCTAACTTCACTGCTGCCATAACGAACAGGAGTTTCCTCATGTTCTAGTGATTTGGCTGGGAAAAACTGCTTCATTCCTTTCCACCAACCTTCATCAGGGTTTCAAACAAGAAGGAATATTACACAAAAAATGTCTTTCTCTAACACAAGCAGCTTAAATATTACCTATAAGCAAACTCTTTCTTCAGACAACGTTCATGATAATGGTTTTCAAGGCCTAGCTGATGGCCCACTAAAAGTAATAGTGTTAAATAGAGGTAACAATTCTGACAGTCACTAGAACTTTATTATACCATGGTTACACTTAAACTTTAAAAAAAAAATCCTCCAAGATGAGGACAGGCACTTTTCATAGTATCTAAAGCACATTAAAATACAAGAGTCTACACAAGTTTTCTACTAAAAATTTGAGTTGAGAAATGCATACCCACATGCACGTTTGTCTAGGGAGAGGCAGAAAAAATCTGAAAGTAACTTCTATCTTCATGAATTTTCCCCCACACCAAAATGACCTAAACAGTCTTACAAGTTAACACTGAAAAAAATGACATGGGGATGGGCTGAAAAAATAGCGCATAAAAAAATAGCACATACATTGGAAAGAGCCCCAGATGGGGCTGTGGGGACTCCCTGAAAGACTACTGGATTTGGGCTCAGGGCAAAGACTGGAATCTTGGTCCTTCCACTGACCACCTATACGATCCCAAGCTATTCACTTGACCATTCCAGGCCTCAGTTTGCATGTCTATAAAATGAGGAGGTAAGACTAGATCCAAGGTCTTAGGCCATATGGGGCCTGTAAAACTCCCAGTGCTACCAGATTAAAATATAATTGGGAACACTTAACAAAATTAATAAAAATACAACTTAAATATTACTAACTTTGATTTTTCTAAGAAAATATGTGCTGGCAGAAACCCATCTCTCTGAGTTTGATACCACTGGACTAAATAATCTCTTAAAGTTCCTTCTAGCTCTAAATCTGAAGAAGAGTATTCTGACTCAAACCTAGACTTTGGTCATGGCTCTGCCTCTTCCTCATAATACCTATGTGACTTTGGGAAAATCCCTAATTCTCTCTGACCCTCAGTTTCTTTATCAGTAAAATGTTGAATTGAATTATTCAATTTATAAAAAGCCTATGTGCTAGGAACTGTGCATATAAATATAATTTGGGGACAGATACTAAAGACTGGGGTATCAGAACGACCTCTTGTAGGAGGTGGCACTACAGATGGATAATAAAAGGTTAATAAAAGGGAAATGGCAGTCTATGGGATAGCAGGCAAAGAGAACAAGGAGAACAACTTGGATGTGAAGGGAAAGTTGAACTGAACTCAGATTGTGAAGGGCTTTCAATAGAGGAGTTTGGATACTAGAAAGAGAGAGCTTCTAGAACAGGGAAATGATATGGTCAGAGGTCTGTATTCGGAATATCATTTTCATAGCTTGTGCAACAGACTGAAGAAGAAGATAAATATTTTTTATATAAATAAATAAAATAGGCAGACCAAATAGGAGACTAGTGTGACAGTCTAGATGAAAGATGATAAGGAACTAAACTGGAGAGAACTGAGATTGTTATCTTCATAGAGATAATAATTACACCCAAGGGAACTGAAGAAATCACAAGAGACAATGTCGAGAGAAAGCCCAGGACAGCCCTGGGTTACACCTATACATAAGAGCTCGGGATATCCAGAGAGGAAGAAGATGAACTAAGAGAGATCAGACTCACCAAAAAAAAAAAGGGGGGGGGGTGGAAGAGCCTATTCCGGAGGAGGAAGTGGGTGGTCAACAAGTTAATTGCTTGTCACATAGGAGACAGGAGTTTCAGCCAAATGATGGGGTTGGAAGCCAGATTGCAAGGGACTGAGAAATGAATGGAAAGAAACAAAGATAAAAGTGAAGAAATGAAGACATAAGTATAGGTAACTTTTTCTAGGAGTTTGGTTGTGAATGGGAGGAGAGAAAAACAATAGCTTGAAGAAAGGGAGAGGAAATTTTTTTTTTTAAAGAATGAGGAAATCTAGGCATGTTGGTAGGCAGGAGGAAGGAGTTAGTAGTTAAGAGAGACTGGCTAATCAGGAGGGCCAGTCTTAAGGAACACAGTTAGAGGAACCGGAATTTTCCAGGAAGAAGGGACTTGACTGGAACAGACAAAGAAAGAATGGAGGATGATGAGGGGATTTAAGGTATAGAATTGGGGAAAGGAGTAAACTTATGACAAATAGGCTGTATTTTTTAGGTAAAGTATGAGGTGTGAAATCTACTGTGAGAGGAAGGGAGAAAACTGATGATGTAGGTAGATTGGGGAGAGAAGAAAAGATTTGGAATAGATGCTGTAGGAACTGCAACAAGGAGTTAATCAGGAAAAAATTAAGGCATTTAATTAGGTGCGACAGTAAGGACCAATCAATCAGAATTATTGTGACTTCTTTGTAATCTTTTCTTCACAAAAGACAATCAACAATTCTTATAATTATACCAATGTTCTTCTCAGGCAATCCCCAAATTGTAAATAAGTTGTATTCTAAACATTATTTAGATTGTTGGTTGTCAAAGTGTGGTCTGTGGTCCCTAAGGATTGCCTAGAGGTTTTGGAGGGATCTGCAAGATCAAAGTATTTTCATAAAAACACTAAGATGTTTTAATTTCTAATACAATAAATATCAACAAATATAATCCATATTCTGCAATAATTTTAAAGGATATAAAGAGGTCCTGAAACTAAAACATTTAAAAGCTATTGTTTTCAACCACCATCCAATTAACAATGGCTATTGGATCTTAGAACTGATTTTCTCACATAAACAATGTTCTTAAACATGATTGCTCTTTCCTCCTAAGAATACAATGAGTAATGGAAAATGAAGGTAAACTACTGTAATTTGCTTTGGCAGATGAATCACAGAAGAGTTAAGTAGGAAAGAGCTATACTGTTTTGCCAAAATGTAAATCCTTCACTTTTTGTACAATTTGGAAAGAGGTCTGAGGTCAGCAATCAAATTCTACGAGAGGGTTCAGCCCTCTAAGAAGGAATACCAGATCAAATTCTTAAGATAAAAAAAGAACAGAAACAGTACTACAAGACTTAATTTTCATTCTACTTCTCTACATATTACTTAGGGGAGAAGTAGAAAGAGGAGAGTAAAATGGAAAAGTAAAGAGAGAAGTACCACCAACCATGACAGAGTCCTACAAACTAAGCTAGTGATAAGCTGTTTGTTTTTGGTATGCCATTTACAGAATACAAGATAAGGATCAAGGGTTTGTTCCTTAGCCAAGGATCAGAGCATATGTATATTTTATACTAATTATGTGAGAGCTGCAAACAAAGTATTTAATTATTTACCTGCACGGTCCCAATAAGGTAAGTCATATGTTCCTTCTGTTTTTTTCTTTCTGGAAAGACACACACACACACACACACACCCAAAAAACCCCATAAATTAACTCATAGGTTAAATGTATTCCTAAGACACTTCTGGAACTAAAGCACAAACACAAAAAGTTAGTTATTAAGCCTACAAAATTCCACTTGAAATGTTGCCTGAGTGAGCTTTCTTCTAGGATGACAGCTAAACTGCATTTTGGAATCTCAAGAAATATTAAAACACAACAAGACTTCTGAGAAAGATTCAGTGTGCCCCTTCTCGCTCTCCTCTCCCCAAATCCTACTTTTCCTTTCTAGAACTATTAACCTAAAAAAGGATTAAGGAATGAAAATTAGCAATTTAGAGACCAAGAAAACGAGGGAGTAAATAAAAACAGCTCCCTGTCATGCCACCTTGTACAGTTTAGGGACGGCAGAGAGGAGAAAAGGGTTAGCCTTTGTTTTGGTGTTGTTTCTTGGGAGATGAAGGGAGAATAAGAAGGGTCTTTATTTTTTAGGTCACAAAACACGTAGCAGGAAAAGAATATTAGTGCCTGTCTTTTGCCTCTGATTTTTCTTTGCCTGGTTCAGTTTGACAAATGTTTTCTTTTACTGCCCAATGCTCCAGCAAATAGTGTCACTCAGCCTAATGTGTTTTGATTAGGAATTACATGGCCTTTGGTAAAGATTGGAAATTGAGAGGATGCCCATCAGCTGGGGAATGGCTGAACAAGTTGTGGTATATGAATGTAATAGATTATTATTGTTTCATAAGAAATGGTGAGCAGGTAGACTTCAGAAAAATCTAGAAAGACTTGTATGGTCTGATACTGAGTGAAGTGAGCAGAACCAGGAGAATGTTGTACACAGTAACAGCCATGTTGTACGATGACTAACTTTGACAGATTCATTTCCTCTCAGCAATGCAAGGATCAAAGACAACTCTAAAGGACTCGTGATGGAAAATGCTATCCACATCCAGAAAAAGAACTATGGAGTCTGAATGCAAATCAAAACACATCATTTGATCTTTTTTCCTTTTTTTTCTTTTATTTCTTCTTTCTTGTGGTTCTTCCCATTAGTTCTAATTCTTCTATACATCATGACTACTGTAAAAATATGCTTAATATGAATGTATAAGTAGAGCCTAAATCAGATTACATGCCCTTTGGGACGGGAGGAAGAGAAGGAAGGGGAGAAAATTTTAAACTCAAAATCTTATGGAAGTGGATGGTGAAAATTAAAAATAAATCATTTTTTAAAAGGATCTACATGGTCTTAATTTACCTATTTGTGGAACATCTTAGTCTAGAGGCTTGGAGACATCTTTAAACATTTTCCTGCTCTTGGTTTTTTATTTAATATTACATAACGTGCCTCCAAACTCTCTTTGTAAAGAGTAGGAAGAAAGATTGTGTTATTATATTTTTACAGAACAATTTAAGTTCTGTTGAATGACAGTTCCTTCCAATATACAAATTCTAGGGAGATTTAAACTTTCTATTCCTAATATTATTTTCCTTATTAAGTCTGTATTTATTTAAAGCATAACATTTCATGGTTTCAAAACAAGAAATAATACACTAGCTAAATGGTGTGTGACGTGACTAACCAGTCATTTAGTGAATGTATAATAAAATGTTAGTTTTATGAGGAAACACACAAGCTATCTTTTACCACTGAATAAACTTGTTTTTTCCTTGGCATTTTATGGCTAGAACAACTCTTTGCAATGCAATGGGAAGAGTACTACGCTTGGGAGTCAGAAGTCCTGGGTTAAATGACCAGTGTCTGTATGTACTGATATCTGTGAATCAAATACACCAGTTACATTACCTGTTTCTCCAATGCCAACCACAAACTAAGATGAGGATAAGGGTAGTGACAACCATGACCAGAACAGGGACCAGGACAGCAGCCAATGCTACATCTGAAATTCATTAAAAAAAAAAAATACCACTAGTAACAATTTAAACAGAAACTGAACATTATGTCTGTTAACATATCTCCACACAACCACCAAGTCCATTGTATAATATTTATTCTAACATTTGTTCCAAGCAGGCAAATTTTATTTCACCTTCTATACATGGTTGTATTTGATGTCTGTAGAACTTTTTGCCCACAGAAAATAACTTTAATAATAAAAAACAGAACTAGATTTCACCTCTTCATATGTAAAATTGGGATAAAAATAGTATCTACCCTAAAGGTGAGATTATATATGTAAAGCACTTTGTAAACCACAACTGAAAATAGAATAAAATTGTTTTAAAAAAAGAAATTTCCTCTCTCTGTCAAAGGCATTACTATGTTTTATCCTTCTAGTCACCTAGATTCACAACCTTCACTTCACATATACCATCAGTTTGCCCAATCTCATTATTCTTTCTCTATAAGATCTCCCATATATTTTTCTTCTCCCCACTCACAGAACCACCTTCTGCCTAGACTACTGCAAAAGGCTTTTTTAAAAAAGCAATCTCCTTACCTCAAACCAAAGTTTTTGTCTAAAGCACAAGTCTTCCTAAAGTTCTATTCTCCATAAACTCCAGCAGCTCTTTATTAACTCTAGAATCAAGTATAAATTCTTTTGTTTGCAATTTATTTTTTCAAAACATGATTCCTTCCTATTTTTTGTTTTAATAATAATAATAATAATAATAATATCTAGCACTTACACAGTATTTTAAAGTTTGCAAAGTGCTTTACAAATATTAACTCATTTTAACCTCATAACAATCCTGGGAGGTAACCCTAAATTGGTGCTATTATGATCCCCATTTTACAAATAAGGAAATTCAGGCAAAGAGGTCCAGTGACTTACCCAGGATCATACAATTAATAAGTGTCTATGGCTGGATTTGGAGTCTTCCTGACTCCAGGGTCAGTGCTCTATCCATTGCACCACCTACCTGCCTTGTTCCTTCTCATTCATGACACATAAAGTACAGTCATACTAGCCTTTTTGATGTTCTTCATAAATGCCTTTTTTACTGCCTGTCCCCCATGCCTAGAAAGCTCACTTCCTCTTCACTTCCACCTCTTGGAGTCTCTGGTATCCTTCAAGACTCAGCTTACATATCACCTTTTGTGGAAAGCCTTTCTGTTAATATTTAGTGTTTCATTTCCTTTCCCTTAACTTCTTTAAAAAAAAACAAACAGTAATCATCTTTCTATGTTTTACCCTTCAAAGATTTTAATTTTAAGACCTCCTTTATTAGCCTTTCTCTGAACACTAGTAACGCTATAGTGTTGTTTGATCTCCATTAGATATTACTGATGAAGTGGTTTGCTGTTAGAAATAGTCTCCCAAAAAACAAAAGGTCAAGAACATCAAAGGAATTAATGAAGAAAGCATGGGAGGGAAGAGGTTCTAGCAATACCAGATGACAAATTATACTACAAAGACATAATCATCAAAACAATTTGGTACTGGGTGAGAAAAGGAGACAATCAATGGATTAGGTTAGGAACACAATCTACAGAAGAAAATGAACAAAGTATCCTTCTGTTTAATGAACCCAAAGATTCTAGCTACTGGGAAAAGAACTCATTATTAAACAAAAACTGTTAGGAAAGCAGTCTGACAGAAACTAGCCAACATCCCACATTGTATATTAAGACAAGCTCTACATTGGTATATGACTTGGACGTAAAGCCTGACACCACAAATTAGAAGAACAAAGAAGAAATTACCTGTCACATCTCTGGACAGGGAAAGAGTTTATGACTAAAGGAGAAAAAAAGGTTCACAGAAGGAAAGTGGACAATTTCGGTCACGTAAACTAGAAGGTTTGTACACAAGCAAAATCAATTCAGTTAAAATTAGAAAAGCAGCAGGAAAGTGGGAAAAATCTTTGCAGCAAGTTTCTCTGATATAGGCTTCATTTCTAAGATATATATGAAGCTGATTCAAAATGATAAGAATAGTAGTGACTGCCCAAATGATAAGTGATCAAAGGATATGAGTAGATACATTTCAGAGGAAGAAATCCAAAAGTTATCAATAGCCATATGAAAAATGTTCTAAATCAAGCATAGCTTGCAGCTTATGAGCCTCGTGTGACCAAAAACACTCTTGAATATGGCTGAAAATAGATTAAAATTTATTTCCCATTTGATTTTAATGTGTTGATACATCAATAAATATAAACATGTGTGGTTTTGTAAATCAACATGTGGTCCACAAGGAACCTTCTGTACTAAAGAGTTTAATTCCCCTTCCTTCTATTTGAGTTTGATACCACTTCTTCAAATCACTAATAATGAAGTATGCAAATTAAAACAACTCTGAGGCACCACTTCATAATCATTAGATTTGCTATATTGACAAAAGCAAAAAAAAAAAAAGGCTGGGGGACAATAAATAAATTAATGCACTGTTGTTGGAACTGTGAACTGGTTCAGCCATTATGGAAAGCAATTTAGAACTATGCCTCCAAGGTTATTATATTGTGCATACCCTTTGATCCATCAATATCACTATTATGTCAATATCAGGGGACTGGGGAAGCTGCAGTCTTGAAGGCCACAGGTTCCCCACCCCTGGCTCAAAAGACATCAAAGAAAGAAAAGCACCCGTTAAGTCCTTTTTAAAAAATATACTTCTTTAGCATATATTTACACCAACTTTTTTATGGTGGCAAAAAATTGGAAATAGAGGGGGTGTCCATCAACTGGGGAATAGCTGAACAAGTTATGGTATATGAATATGATGGAATACTACCATGCTATAAAAAATTAAGAAGGGGATGGTTTCAGAGAAATCTGAAAAGACTCATGAAAACTAACGCACAGTGAAGTGGGCAAAACCAGACCAATTCATGTAATAACACAGATAACTGTGAAGGACTTGGAAAACTTGCTACCCATATTCAGACAGATGAATGGTAGATTCAGAGTGGAGATTGAGGCATATGACATTTCTTTTTGGACACAGCTAATGAGTATACGTGTTAGTAATAGATTTTGTTTTGCTTGCTTTTTCAAGGGAGAGAATTCAGAGCTAAAAATAAAATGAAATTGAATTTTAAAGAGAAATTTTTCTTAAAAATAGCCCCCAAAACAAGATGTATGTGTGGAAGAATATAATACTGAAGCCACTGGCCTTTTTCTTTTGTGTTGTAGGATCATAAAAATGCCACGTTGATTTTTTAAAATTATGGGTTTTTGCCCACTCTCCCTACCTTTCACACTGCGAAAAAAGAAAAACAAGACCCTTATGACCAACACATACAGTTAAACAAAACAAATTTATGCACTGGCCACGTCCAGAAAAAATATGTACCATCCTGTACTCTGAGTCTTTCGCTGGTCTACCAAGAAGCAAGTAGTTATGTCCTCGTTGTCTTTAATGCTCTGGAATCATATTTGGTTACAATGTTTAGAAGATCAAAGTTTCTAACTCTTCAAAGTTGTTCTTCTTTGCCATATTGTTGTCACTGTATAATTCATTCTGGTTCTGTTCACTTCACTCTGAATCAGTCATACAAGTTCTCTCAAGGTTTCTGGAAACCATTTCCTTCATTTTTTTATAGCACAATAAACAGTATTCTATTACATTTACATACCATAATCTGTTCAGTCATTTTCCTCAATTTATGGGCACCTCCTCAAATTCCTACCTTTTGTCATCCCAAAAGGAGCTATAAATATTTTTGAACATTCTAAATTAAAGTCTGTTTGGCTTATGACTAACCCCTCCATAAATCTACCTTCCTAATTTTCCCTTCTCCTTTTTGCCTATTTCTTTGTTGAGTGAAAAATATTTCTGTACCCAACGTGTGTATTTTTCCCTTCTCTGTCTGACCAGTTCAAATGAGAATAAAGTTCAAGTGCCAGCAGCTGCCCAGCCTTACTCCCTCTTCCTTATTGGTATAAATGTCTATTCCCTCTTCCATTCAGGTGGAGCTCTGCCCGAAAGACAGGATCTTGTGTCTACACCAGACAAGGAATGAGAGTCTACAAGGCAAATAACTTCAATAATAAAAAACAGAACTAGATTTCACTTCTTCATATATGAAATTGGGATAAAAACAGTATCTACCCTAAAGGTGAGATTATATATGTAAAGCACTTTGTAAACCTCAACTGAAAATAGAATAAAATTGTTTTAGAAAAAGAAATTCCCTCTCTCTGTCGAAGGCATTACTATGTTTTATCCTTCTAGTCACCTAGATTCACAACCTTCACTTCACATATTCTTCTCTTCAGATCATAAACACCTAACAGAGCCACCCCTAGTCCTTATCTAATTAGACTCCAGCTCTGACCCCTCATGATAGTAGGATTCAGAGGGGATACATATATCACCAGTTTTGGTTTTGAATTTCAAAGGATCTATCTAGCTCTAGCCTTTTCTTTAGGAATGGTTGTAAGCCCTCCATTTCAATAAGGTCTACTTTTTTCCCCCATAGGATTATGTTCAGTTTTGTTGGGTAAGTTTTTCTTGCCTATAGGCCTACATTTTTTTGCTTTATGGACTATCCTATTCTAAGATCTCTGCTCCTTTACAGTGGCTGTTGCTAAATCATGTGTGATTTTGAGAATGGCTCCTTGGTACCTGAATCCTTTCTGGTTGCAGTACTTTCTTTTTTTTTTTTTTCCCTTTGACCTGGAAGCTCTGTACTTTGGCTATAATGTTTCTGGGAGTTTTCATTTGGGTGCTTCCTTCAGGAGGTGACCTGTGGATTCTATTGACATTTTGCCCTCTGCTTCTAGGAGATATTGGTAGTTTTCTTTTAAGATTTCTTGAAATCTGATGCCTATGCTCTTGTTTTGGTTATGGCATTTAGGTAGCCTAATGATCCTTAAAAGTTTTTCTGCTGGATCTGTTTCCTAGTTTTTTAGGTTAGTTATTTTTCTTATAAGATTCTTTATATTTTCTTCTATTTTTTCCAGGTGAGTTTGATTTAATATTTCTTCTTG